TTTTTTTTTATTGCTTATGTCACGGATCATTTTTCTAGAACTCGCTTGACAATTATTTCTACGAAGGTGGCGAATCATCTCTTTTCAACATTTACAACCTTGCTGGTGCAATTGAATCCTGTCATGACATAATGGCCGTATCTAAGGTTGATGCGGAACAAGTGAAATGGGATCCGAATCCATTTGGTCAGTCTCGTATTTGTAGGGTATCGCTCTATGCAATGTATATGCAGGTTGGTCGCCTCGACCGGAAGCAGCTTTGGTACTGGGTCGCAGTCGAGCTATTATCTACCCTGATCTCATACCCGGTGTACAGCCCGATCTATTCGATTGTCCTCATCAGTTCTTCACCCCAGGAGAAGATCTTCTGTTGGCACACGCTCTCATACAGTTTAGACATATTCCGCAATCCACGGGTCATGATCCATTCGGAAGGTAAATTATCCATTGTCCTAACCGGAGATCGTAAGCAAACCTTTTGTACGTGCTTTCGATATCAAATTGTCAATGTGATTAATGTGACAAAGCTCAATAATCTGCGCCTTCCTCATCACATGGTCAAATAGATACTCGCCCGCAGGCTGCTGAGCTTGGATGTGTATGCCACGCTAGCTGACGCTCTTTGATCCTCTTCTCGTTTTAGGCTGTATTGGGTGCAAAAAATGCTGCTACCCTGTAAAACAATATCACAAATACGAGCACATATCCGACTTGCAAGAAATCACACTGAAGGACAAGTGAACAATAGAAATCCGATCTACCAAATCATTGTGGTAAGAATCTGTTGTTGTAGTGAATAATAGCGTGTCGCTTCCACTATTTTACCTGCAGCAAGCATTGAATGGCGTTTGTCACCTCCGATTTCCGTTCGAACGTCCCGTCGCCCGCTACGATACGTTACAGATGTGGCCTGATGAGGAAAGGCCGATTTGGTTCAATGTCAGTTGTTGGATTTTTGGAGCATTTTGTATTATATTTTTTTCATTTTTTCCCATTGCTTTGGTTTTTTCCCTTTCACTTTTGTATATGACCAGAGCCCTCCCACCTCTCCCTCCCCTTCCGTCCTCTCCTTGTTAGACTCCCTACTGTTCGAAGACAATCTTGTCTCAACACGTTGACGACCTTGTGCATATGCGCGTATACACGCCCCGACCACCTTTGAGCACTTTCGTGCATCAATTT